CAGCTAACTTCAGCTGTACAAATAATGCTGAAGAGATGACAGGGACCAGAGTTAGTTATTATGAAAAGAATAATGAGCAGTGCTTAGAAGCAAGAAGAACCCAGTAAGGAGAAACTGGAAATTCTCTTTGCTACTCGGCAGTTGTGTTCGTTAAAGCATCTCTCAGCATCTCACACACGGCCTGGCTTATTATAGGTATGAAGTTATTTGTTTGATTAGATAACTCAGGACAAAGGACTCTGGCTATCCAATGAAGTGCGGTAGCGAGGACTTGCTGAGATCACTTATTGTAATTCTTGCATCCTGTCTACTTCTAGTCATAGAAATATTAGGATTTTAGACTAGAGGGAATACGGATCAAAACATAGCAGATCTGCTGCCCAGTGTGTCCCATGCTGTAGATTATTCTACCTACCTTCCTTCTGTCGTTCTACAGCTGACTTACACTTCTATATACCAACTGAAAAGGCAGGATGGAATCGTGAAATGACCTTCTAGCCCACACACTTGCATCACTGTCTGTCTATTTCATAGCACTGTTGTCTGCTTGCTTTTATTTAAGAAACTTCATTATTAAGCATTTACCTTTCAAAAGTTGGTCCCTTCTGTTCATCCAGTCCCAAACATCCTCTGTGTCCTGTTAGAATATGGTACCGCATGCTGCTACCCTTGGAATTCCGCTGGAAGACTGTGTCCTAGGTTTTCTTTTCTGCACTTATGCTGGGTCTCAAGTGGCCTGCAAATACTTAAATATGTCCAAGATCACAGTCTATTAATACTGCATTATATTCTGGAAAGGATCCTGGAACAAAGGAACAACAATAAAACAGCTGGTAGAATCCAAACAAAGTTCATAATTTCCATAGTTAGTAATTGCCTAGTTTTGACCTCTATCCCATGGCTATACAAGTTATAAACATTAGGGGAGCCTGGGTAAATGGTATAAGGATATGGGCATCTTACAAATGAAGAAATATAGATACTAAATTACATGTGAGTGTCCTTTTCAAAACTTAATTTTTCCAGCATGAGTAAAATTGCAGCACTAAAGTACACTTTTAGATAATTTTAGATATCATAAGGTATCAACCTGTGTCTGTGTGCATCTTCTTTCCCCTTCAGTTTCTACTCTATCCATCTCATCCATCCCACATCTCCAGCTGTCCTCTCTGTGCTGATGTAAGAGTGCCTGACTTTTCTATGTCCCTCATACCCATAGCTAGACTCACTGTCTCTCACTGGATTTTTAGCACATACAAACTTAACTCAGTTGTCCTCTCTCCTTGATAGCCTAGTATGGACCAGTGACTTCACCATCTGGTCACCCATACTGGATACCTCCAAGTCATGTTGACTACTTTCTCGTCTTCCACCCATTCAGTCAGTTCTTCTTCCATAAGTCTCTTGTGTACACACCCACTCCTTTCAATATCCCTTTGTCATTACCCTAGAAAGAGCTTCTAATACCTTGTCAGCAATACCTGCCAAAGTCTCTCCATCTTTTCTACTGACTTCAGGAAGAAGGCTTGGCAGTAACTGGGTATGGTGGTGTGCACACCTGTATTGTCTGCACTTTGGAGGCTGAGGCAGGAGGATGACCTCAAGTTCAGGGCAAGCCTGGTCACATAGAGAAACCTTCTTAATTAAAAAATAAATAAATAACAGAATATATGGGCTCCAGTGGGGCAGGGGGGCTATGGGAGGGTGCCATTTGGGATGCGGGTATAAAGATGAATAAGATTGTTTGGGATGTTTTGTGTGAAATACACATTTAAAAAAATCAGTAATTAAAAAAAAGAAAAAAGAAATAAAGGAAAGAGGACTGGGGAGATGACTCACTCTGTAAAGTACTTAATGTGCACGGACTTGAGTATGGATCCCTAGAACCCATATAAAAAGCAGGGAGCAGCCGTGCATGTGTATGTGCATGCCTGTGAGCCCTGCAGTGGGTAGATGGAGATAGGGGATTTCTGGGACCTATTGGCCAACCAGTTTAACCAACTTGGTGAGCCCCAGGCCAATGAGAAACCCTGTCTCAAGAAATGAGATGGAGAGTGATTGAAGAAGACACCCAATAGCAACTTCTGGCCTCCACTTGCACATGCACACACATGTGCACAAACATGCACAAAAAGGTTAGTGAGCCGGGCATGGTGGCACACGCCTGTAGTCCCAGCACTTGGGAGGCAGAGGCAGGTGGATCTTTGTGAGTTCGAGGCCAGCTTTTCTACACAGTGAGTTCCAGGACAGCTGGGGCTACAGGGAGACCCTGTCTCAAAAAGACCAAAAAAAAAAAAAAAAAAAGTTAGTGCCTATTTTGCCACTGCCCAAAAAAGTAGTAAATCCATACACAGAAGAAATATGAATGCCATAGACAAATTAGATTGTCAGTTCAAATCCACCTTCTTCCTCTTTATAACCCCCAAGAAACCAGAAGGAACACAGAAAGTCATGACCTTGAAGCCTAGCACAATCCCAAGCAGATTAGTCTTTATCTCTGAACCTATTTCCTCTTTTGTAAAATAGAGCCATACTTAATGTCCAAGACTGTTGTTAGAACTGAAGAAATTATGTATGCTGTTATTGGTACTTAACAGAAGGTGCTTAAAATGAGGACTTGTTCTCTTGAATTTCTCTGGCCTGTGTGTTAGTGAAGTTTGGTTGTATCTCTTTGTCCCTCAAAAAAACATGGTCCATATCCCACAACAGGGGCCTTTTTCTAGGAAAGCTGATGCAGCATGGTGGAATTGAACACTTTCCCTATACCCTGTCAGCTGCACTGGGGATGTGCTCTGCTTTATGCCACAGGTCAACCCTGGACCATTAGGGCTGAAGGGAGCCTGGCCTCAAGAACTGCATTCTATTTTCTAGAATGCAGTGCTTGGTCTGTTCTCACATTAGTGGATGAACCTGTGTTTTGCAGTAGAACTCTTCCATGTCTACCCTACTTTCCAGGAGCACTCTAAACTAGAATGCAACTACCCCAGTCTTCTGTGGGCTAATTCTTTGTCTAACTGATCTATTGCCCTTTTCTTCAGTGGTGTGGTTCAGTGTCTAGAATATAGTATGTACTCAATCAATATTAGATGGATAGAAAGCTGAACCTGTTAATCTCTAGGATTTGGCAACTAATCTGTCCTTAATTGAAAGACTGAATAATGAATTTCCCAGTAAGTTAAATATTAGACCAGGGCTTCAGCACTGATTTCTGGTCTCTACCCATACATGTACCTTTAACTTTCTAAAAGTTCCCCCACGTCGTTCTAATAGATAGCCAGAGTTGGAATCCTCCACTCCAAAAGGATGTGTCTATGCATTACTCTTACTGTTTTGTTTCCACACTGGATTCCAGTTGTCAGCTGGTTTATATCCTTTACCCTCACTTGGCTCTGTCTCCTTGAACTCGGATACTGAGACTTTCTGATGTGTAGCACAGTGCTTGGCATCTAATAGACAGTCATAAATGTTAATTGACTAAATTGGTGGTTTTATTTAAAACACAAGATAATTGTATAGTACCATATGACAAAGAAAGAAAGTACAGCAACCATGAGCTTGGTTTTGGGTTTGGTTTGTATATATACTGTTTAATTTGTTTGTTTTAGGTTGTTTTTTTAATTTTTTTCTTTCTTTCTTTTTTTTTTTGGTCTTTTTGAGACAAGGTCTCCCTGTAGCCCCAGCTGTCCTGGAACTCACTATGTAGACCAGGCTGGCCTTGAACTCACAGAGATCTGCCTGCCTCTGCCTCCCAAGTGCTGGGATTAAAGGCGTGCACCACCATGCCCGTTTTTTAAATATTTTACTTATTATTTTTATTTTATGTGTATGCGTGTATTGCCTGCATGTAGGTAAGTGCACCTGTGTCGTGCAATGCCTGTGGAGGACAGAAGAGGCTGTTGGATCCCTTGAAACTGGAGTTAGGACAGTTGTTAGCTACCAGGTGGGTGCTGGGATTCGAACCTGGGTCTTCTTCAAGAACAACCATTGTTTTTAACCACTGAGCCATCTCTCCAGCCCCATTTGTTTGTTGTTTTTTGAGGCAAAATCTCACTGTACAGCCCAGCTGGCATCAAACTCGAGATTCTCCTGCCTTAGCCTCCTAAGTGCTGGGATTACAGACATGCATCATGCTCTGTGTGTATGTGTGTGTGTGTGTGTGTGTGTGTGTGTTTTCTAACCATCTACATTTGATTACCTTTCTGCTTGTTCACAGTTGATTGTTTTTTCCTATTCACTCACTGCCATCTATCCAGGTACTAGAAATCAACAACAGCTAATGATATTGGACTTCACTGAGGACTCTCAATTTAGAATTTTATTCTGTTGTTCCCATCTGTACCCAAGTTCTAAAATTTGCTGTCAATATGCACTTAAAAGGATATATCATTAATGTGACATTCAATCACATCACCCCCCAACTCATATACAAGTCTAGACAAACACGCAGGTTGCTACTCCACTTCTTAACTCCAAAATCAGTTAATTCAGATATGCAGTATTATAGCCACAAAGATATTAGAGGTGTCAAAATCAGTCATCCTCATTATACAGCATAGAAGCTGGGTTTGAGACTTGACTAAGAACACACAACTTGTTAAAGATATAGCTGGTACAGGAAATCAGAAGCAGACCTAGGACAGTGATATACTCCTATAATCCCAGGATGATTTCAAGTTCAAGGCCACAGTAGCCTATATACCTAAACCTTATCACCAAAACCAAAAAGAACAAAAACAAACAAAAACAAAAACCAGTGTGGCCTAGACTACATAGGTAGTATACCAGTTCAGATAATATTAGAAATCGTATTTACTTATAGTATTTATGTTATAAAGAAAAATAACAGAGAAAAGGGTAGTATTAGATATTTCTCAGAAGATTGGAGAACATAAGTAGAAGTGGGGAGAGGACAGAGGAAAGGGTTTCTGAATGAAATTTTTAATAAGGAAAGTGTGTCTTGTGGCACCACTGGTCACTTGTGTATCTGCCCTTGTTTTCAGAATCTTCCCCAGAGAATACCTCCTTCAACAGATCCACCTGTATTCCCTTGCTGACCTACAGCAGGTAAGTGCTCAGAGGGGCCATTTCATTTTATCTTCTGCCTGGAGAAGTCTCCTTGTGAACTGTGGTCTTAGTGCTAAATTTTGCTGTCATTGTGGCAGTTTCATCACAATCCTTGCTATTCATTCAGTTCACTTCTATTCAGAATTGTGGGGAAGACTTTGTATAAAAAGATACTACAGGACAATGACAGATGCTGGCAAGAATTATAGAGATAGTAGAGTGTTCCTGCATTGCTCGTGGGGAAGTGGAGTGGGATAGTCACTTTGGGAAGCAGTTTGGCAGTCCCTCAAAAAGTTGGAGTTATCATATGACCCAGAGATTCCACTCCTAGGTATATGCCCAAGAGATGAAAAACATGTATCCTTGTGAAAACTTGTTCTTGAATTCTGGGAATGTGATATGCACCGCAATCCTAACTCCTCAGGAGGTTAAGGCAGCCTAGGCTCCATTGCTAGCAGGACAGTGTCTCAAAAACAAATAAAACAAAACCTGTATCTGAATTTCAATGCAGTATGATTCATAATAGCAAAAAAGTAGGGAGAACAACCCAGATGTCCTTCCACTGATGGATAGGGAACAAGATGTTATTTATCAGTATGATAGAACATTACCTAGCCACCAAAGGAGTGAAATATTCACACATACTACAACATGGATGAACCATTGAAACATCACTAAGTTAAGACTCCAGATATGAAAGAATATGTATTTTTATGACTATCTAAATGGCATGTCCAGAATAAACAAGTTCATAGGGACAGAAGGTAGCTTAGTGGTTTCCAGGCTCTGGAGAGAGTGGAGGAGTAAGGAAGGACTGTAATGGGTATTCCACATCTTTAGGGACTGAATTGGATAGTAATGATGCCTTTCAAATATACTAAAAGTTGATGGATTACTTTCTTTAAAATAATGAATGTTATGTATGAATGATATGTCAATTAAAAATTATGTGAAGACAAAAGACATGAGAAAATCAGAGAGCAAATGAATTAAGCCTTCTGGCTTGTGCTTGAAGCCTACCAGTCGAGTGACTTTTAAAGTTTAATAAAACATAGCAGAGCACAGAAGAGAGTCAAAACCAACTTCTTATGCTTTCATTAGTACATGCTCTTTTAATGATTGACCAGGTTAGCAGCTGGGGGTAGGGGACCAAGCTTTTGTGTGTTCAGCCCTAAGTTCTGAGTATGCTAAGCTTTGATTAATCATTTAAATCAACAACTCGCTCTCTAAGAAGCTGTTAGACACCAGATGAAAGAATTACTTCCCTTTCTAAATAGATACTGATTCTTTTAAGAATCTTTTTTTTTTCTTTTTAATTATTGTGACAACTTTCAGAAATTTTAAACTGCTAGGATTCTGTTCTTTTATTGTTGTTTTCCTGTCTGGCTGTTTTTGCTCAAAAGAAATAAATTCAACTTAAAAACTCACCCATGTCCTTCAGTCGTTTTTCAGATTCTAAGTTACTTTTCAAGGTTTCTTGTATGTATGTCTTTCTATTTTATTTGAAATTTTAAGACTTTTATGTTCTTTGTCCCTTTGATATCAGAAAGTTATTTTCTGGAAGAAATAATTTAACGTTTAGTTGGAGAGGTCTGAGAGAAGGTTAGAGCTTTAATTTACACTCCTCATCAGGTTTAAACCTATTTGCAAAAGCTAGCTCCTTCCAGCTCCTTCAGTCCTGTCTGCCCTGTCCTGCATAAGCAAGCATCAGTGTGATCTGCTGACCAGGGTGGAAAGGAGTATATTCTTAATTACAGTCACCTAGTGATATTCAAAGGGGAGAGTTGATTAAAATGTATATATACATTTATTTATCTCTCGTCTAGTGATCTGTCTGGTCATAGTAGCTAGGGGCCCAGACACTACTGCTTGAGAAGTCTCTTTAAAGGTACCAAACATTCTTGTAAAGGTGGTCTAAAATAGAATGACTTTCCTTTGGGTTTTGATATCAGATGAAGAGAAAGAATCAGAGTAATTTCATATTCATCTTAGAGTATTAGAATAGTGCATCCATTTGTAATAATAAAGCCTGCTTTTTAAAGCTTTCCTGTACCCTGCTGTCTCCCCCTACACACCCCTTTTCTTTTTCCCTCCTTGTAATAGTCAAACCATACATGCCAAGCAGCTTACTTAAGTCAGTGATAGTGGTGTTCTTGGTGGGCGAGGCTATTAGCCCCCAGAGCCCCATAAGTAGCTTAATCAGTTTTCAGCTGGGTAGTGAAATGATAGAAGCAATCGCTGGCTTATCAAACTCCCTGAGGGCTGGAGGGGGGGTGCTCAATGCATCCATTTATTCAGCAGCTCACTCTAACCTGGTCTTTGTGCCTGGCTTTAAGAGCCCCAAACTTATCATATTTAGAGGAAGTTTAATTCAATTACTGTTTCTGCCTGAGGTGGGCTAAATTGGATTTAGCTTTTGATCTGTCTGCATCATGGCTATCAGCCCTGAAGGGCACCCCTACCTCATCTTCCTTTGCTTTCTGAGTAAATAACAAGTATGTTTTCTAGGTTTGAACCGTTCTCAGAAATAGGTAAAGGGAAGGGATAAGGAGAAAGAAAAACAGGACTACTGCTTTGTGAAAGAATAGATCAAGGTAGCAGGAACCCTTCCTGGATGCTCCAACCATAAGCCTCTGTGGCTCTGCGCCACCTTGGTCTTTCCCTTCCAGTTTTTTGTCAGCTTCAGGAATGAATGATTTTCTCCTGTCTGATTCTGTTCCTTAGCCTTAAAGCCTTCTGTAAAACCAAACTTTTCCACTTTATACAATAACTATGGCAAAAGATGTTTCAAGGTATAGATTTTATAGTGAAAGAAAGGTAAATTAAGCCAAGTTATTGAGAAGTTATAGATCTTCAACAATAACACAGATCCATTTTTACAAATTTCTCTGAGTTTGATTTTTTTCATTTCCTTTTATTAAAAAAAAACAGACATTTTCCTCTTCAAGTGGTAATAATTTAATAGCCATGGTAAAGAGGGATTTGTAATTTATGCATAATTTTAAAATAGCACACAAAGCACTAATAATATTTAAAGATGCTGAAAGATTCTGGTGCCAAAAGAAATTGCATCCATCCTGTTTCATTTTTATAAGTACCCATCCTCAAAATTTTAGCATATTTATTCAATCAACAACTTGGCTAAAGATTTCAAGTTACCCTAATATATCTTTTGCTATATCAAGAAAATCACTATTTTGATTTACTGCCCCTTGGTATGTATTCTCTCTTACTAAGATAGACTTGCATGTGAGGAGATAGAGAGCAAGGACTGGCAATTGCTTAGCAAAGGAGACTCCTTCCTGTTGTGCTGGGAGCTAATCTCCTGCCATTTATTGGCAAAGTTTATGCTGGTGCTAAGTCCTCCACTGACTATGTATTAAACTGCTCTCTGGGCATTACACACCTGGAAAGGTAGCAGTTAAAAAGCACATTATCTGACTAGTCAGTTGACAGCATTTACTAGAGCATGTAAAATAGAGCCAAGGACCCTTCTAGCCTAATGGCAGGGCCAAGGAAGAAGCATAGTAGGGGAGGCAAGGCTCTCCAAATCCTAGGATACACATGCTTGATTCAAATATTGCTTAAGTTTAGAATTTCAGATAAATTTCTGTTCAGCAAAGAAGATGTTGTTAGAAAAAGGTATTCAGGCTGGTAGCAAATGCCTTTAATCCCAGCACTTTGGCAGGGGGGCGGGGGGAGTGAATTTCTGTGAGTTTGAGTCTATTCTGGTCTACAATAGAGAGTTCCAGGCCAACCAGGTTTACTTAGACCCTGTCTCAAACAAAACAAAACACCTATAGGAAGGAAGGGATAGAGGGAGGGAGGGACGGAGGGAGGGACGGAGGGAGGGAGGGAGGGAGGGAAGAGAAGAGAGAAGTGAAGAGGGAGGGAAAGAGAGAGAGAAATGTATTCAACCCACACACTTTGA